CTATTTGTTGAATAAGATTGACCTGTAACTAATAATAACATTTTTTATAATGTTGTATAGGCATGAAGTGGGTAGGTAGAAATAGAAATTTATGTTTTTTTCAGGCCTTTTATCTATATAATCTGAGTACTTATGTCTTTAATTATTAGAACCAGATCAATAGTAACCATCTTCGAAGAGCAGAACAAGAGGTGATCAGTCTACAGGAGAAGGTGCAGTACCTTTCTGCGCAGAACAAAGGATTACTTACTCAGTTAAGTGAAGCGAAGCGCAAACAAGCTGAGATTGAATGCAAGGTAACTATAGCAACTAGCTAGTTTGTTGTTGTCAATATAAAAATGTCTTGTTTTGTTTTGTTTTGTCTCATCATTGATTGCATTATCTTAAAACCAAACAAAGCCAAAAGAGGCTAGTTTTATTTCCCACTTATTTGAACTTGTTTTGGTGGTTGCTTTCAGAGCAGGTTAGCTCATCTTGCTCTGGGGTGAATTTCAGTCAGGAAACCTCATTTTCATCCACTTGGTTAAATGCCAGTGCAGGAAATTCAGTTAACCAAGTGGTTAAGTATTGGTATCGGTTTACAAATTTTCTTTTGACCTAGCCCTTTAAAAACGAACCTTTTAATATTTCAACCAAAAAGTTAGGTAATCTAGAAGGCTTGGGGCAACTCTGCTTTGGTTAGTACCTCATTAGAGATTAGTGGGGTCAGTATGGACATATGTTTTTGGGATACGGTAGAGAGCTAAAGAAGTGTGTATGTACCAATGGATTAGGAAGTTTTTGTACGTTTCCCATTATTTTAATCAATTTTTCTATTTTTGTGTGTGAAGTAATTGGATTCATAAAGCATGAAAAAGTATTTGAATGCAAGTACATTTTTTCCTGAAATAAATGTACAGCATAGCAGTGGTGAGAGAGAGAGGATATGAGAAGTGGGGTGGAAGGGGGGGCGGGTGTGTATGAAATAACTAACGAGATGACTGTGGTCTGAGCATTAGAATGGATTGCGGAGGACAAGTTATGGGACTTTAAAAATAAACTAGACAGCCATCTTTCCATGGTGAGATAGTAGAAATGATGCCCTTTAAAGATTCCAGCCTTATTATTCTATGATAAGAAATAAGACTTTCAATGGCACATATAAAGCTGTAATTCCATCAACTTGTTCTGGTGTCATTAAAAACCAAGAGTGAAGCTTGAGTGGTTTATCAGTGTCACTGAAATCCAGAGATGAAATTACATCCTAATAAATATGCATGGCTGTTACAATTTACACTGACAGAAATCTGTAGGCAGTACTGAAATTTGTACTAACTTAAGAGTAGCCCCTCTTAAAGCATATGACCAGACTAACTTAGAAATAAAATGATGTGGCATGAAGTCATATCAATTTGATTTGTTGTACTAATATCTGATTGAGTTTTTATGCTTCTGTATTGTCTGTGCTGGCTTATTTTTAATAAAGAACTAAATTTAGTCTTTTTTCATTATTGGTGTAAGTTTTCATTTAACACTGTTACTGGATTTAATATTGTTCCTCAAATGCTTTAGCATCTTTTCATTAAAGTAAAAATGTTCTTTGGAAATAAATATTGGGGAGTTTGCTGATGAAAGGTTTTTTTTTTTGAAATTTATCTAAGCAGTGGGCTCAGATTCAGAATTTTAGAGAATTTTAAGAATTGCTTTGAGATTTAAAAAATTTTTAATTGTTCATTAATACTGCTGTGAAGTACGTTACAGATGTTGACTCTGATATCTCCCCTGTGTTTAAGCTGTATATTGATTTATTCAATCTTTTATAATGCCGTTTGTAGATTTCTAGAATGACCAGTGTGTTAATTGTCACTCTAGCACCTCGTGCATTCTGATTAAGTGTATGTATTTTACCTTGATATATTGGAACAATTCAAGAACAAACCTAACTTTTTCAAGAAAGCCAGTCCTTCAGTTATATAAATCTGATTCATTTTCATTTAGTTTTATATGAGTATAGCTTCTGATTTGTTGATAAGTAATCATTAAAGTTCATTTTATTTTTCATTTATGGGAAATGTCAGGATACTGTTTTAATATTAATGTTATTTTCCCTCTGTATCTGAATTTGAATGTCCCACTTAAATAGTACAAGTCTTTAACCCCAATATGAAAACCCCAAACATAGGAAACCCAAGGGTTTTTTTCATAAATTTTACACAAATTCATTTGGAAGCAAAACCTGATTTAAATTAATATGTGGCCATTTATCATTTTTATTTATCCCACTTGGTATGGGTATTTATACTTCACTGCTTCATTGTATTGAGCATTGAGCATACTGTTTCAGTATGGATGCTGCCTCAGATCCCACTGGATAAGACTAATTTATGATTTATGCACCTTATTACTTTTCTAAAATCTAAAAAATCTGAAATTCCATAACACACCTGACCCCCAAGATTTCAGAAATGAGATTGTGGGATTTTTTTAAATAAATCTAAATTTGAAGGAAGATTTTATATTCTCTAGTTCTACATACAGACATATATATTCATGAGGAAAGGTATGCTAATCAATATAGAAACTTGTAAAATTATGTAATAAATAATGTTAAGTGAGGAAAGTCAATCAAGGTATTTCTCTATGATTATACTACTATTATTATTACACCCTTGTTCCCTTCTATCTCATTCCTGGCCCTACCACATATCCCTTCTTTTATTTTTTCCCCAGGTAATGCTTTTATTTTCTGAAATGTCATTTATAGTTTCTATTAGGCAGATAGTAGCAAGTAAAAGTACATAATTTTTCTCCTCCTCATTTTCTTACATGAAAATTAGCATACCATGTGTTCTGCGTTTTGCTTTTTTTGTCATGCTTTGTAGAGCTGTACATATCAGTGCTTGAAGAGTCTTCTCATTAGTTTCTAAGGCACATTGTTTTTCATTGCATGGATGTACCATAGTATACTTAATCCTTAACTAGGCCTGTATTGTTGGGCACATAGGTCATTCCCAGGGTTTTGCTGCTATAACCAGAGTATAGTGAATAACCTTGTTTATACATAATTTCAGATTTATGGAAGTCTATCTACCCATCCCAATAGGATAAATCCCTGTAAATTTTATTGTTTGGTCAATAGGTAAATAAATATATTGGTACTCTTCATAGATTTTGTCAAATTACCCTCTTTAGGGTTGTACCATTTTGTACTTTAACCAGCAGGACATGACAGTACCTGTTTCTTCATCATGTTACTCACAAAGTGTGTAGGCAAATCTTTTAATTTTAAGTAGATGTAACATATATTCTAGGACAGTGATTCTCAAATGGGGATGGGAGGAGGTGAGATTACGAGGCTTCAAAGAATGATGGCATCTACTTATGTATTTGTCAAATATTTGAGCATCTTCTATTTGTCAGTTACTCTTATAGGCACTGGGGATACAGTAGTGAAGAAGGTGGTCATAATGCTTACTGAGATAATAAGTAAAAAATAGATAAGATCATTCCTAATTATATACTTAGAATGGGAGCTAAGGGGAAGTGGTAATTAAGATCAAATGCCAGAAGGTGTTATCAGTGCTGGGACCTGAAGAGTAAGAAAGAAATCAGCCTTATGAAGAGCCAGGGGAAGATCCCTGCATAAAAAAGGTTACAGACTTCAAGACCCAAAAGCAGGAAAGAACTTGGTTGCTTGGTCTCATATATAATGAAAAGCTTAATGAAATAAAGCCAGGGAAGTAGGCTGGGACTCCATCGCTTACCATGTAGATTTTTATAGCCCATGATAGTGAGTTCGGGTTTTACTTGTAAGGACTGTGGGAGGCCAATGAAAGGTTTTAAGTAGGAAGACAACATACAGTTTTTTTTCTGTTTTACTATATTTGCTCCAGATTTACTTTTTACTTTTGATTTTTGAAATAATTTTATGTTTAAAGAAAAGTGGCAAAAATAGTACAGAGAATTCCCATATGCCATACCCTTTAATCAACTCTTCCTAATGTTAACATCTTACATAACCATGGTATATTTGTCAATACTAAGAAATGAACATTGTTGGTACAATGTTATTACTGAACTATAGACTGTATTAAGATTTCCCCATCATGTCTCAGTCTTCTCTGATCTGTGACAGTTTCTCAGTGTTTTCTTGTCTTTCATTACATTGACTATTGAAGAATTACTGGTCAGATATGTTGTAGAATATTTCTCAATTTGAAATTGTCTGATGTTTTCTCATGCTTATACTGAAGTATTTTAGGAAAGATTACAGAGATAAAGTATCTTCTCAGAACATCATGTCAGGGGGCATACTGTATTGATACGTATTGCTTCTAGTGCTGTTAACCTTGGTCATTTGATTAAATTGGTGTTTGCCAGCTATCAAAACTCTTTCAGACTGTTCATTACAAGCAAGGTATTAAGTTCAGACCATGGCCCAAGATGGGGCAGGAACATTAAGCTATACATCCTGAAGGAAAGAGTATCAAAGAATTTGTGGACATATCTTAAAACCACCACAATAATTAAATATTTTGTGGGGACTATTTTCAGGTTATGCAAATATCCTTCAAATTTCAGCAACTAATTTTAGCATTTATTAGGGGCTGTTGCATTAGCAATTACTGTAATTATTTTTTAAAAGAACCACATACCACTGTGTGTGGAAATGGACTTGAGGTGGGGTTGGAGAGATTTGATATGAGATCATTAGGTAATAATAGTAAAGAACAGAGGTTCTAGCTTGGCCTCAGGAATTGGCAGTGAAACTAAAGAGAAATAGATTGATTCAAGGTCTATTTTTCTAGAGAACAATAAGACTTAGTGATTAGATTGGAGGGGGAAGGATTAGGGAGAAATTGATGCCTAAAATTTTGTTTTTGTACTTGATTGATATAATATTTTATACAATGCTAACTAAAATTAGTAGAGTGTAAATGTATTAGTTATCTATTGCTATTTAACAAATTCCCTCTAAAATGTAGTGGCTTGAAATGGGAATAAGCACTAATATCCCAGAGTTCCTGTGGGTCAGAAATTTAGGAGCAGCTTAGCTAAGTGGTTCTGCTTTAGTCTCATGAGGCTGCAGCCATCCGAAGGTTTAACTGAAGGTAAAAGGTAAGGTTTTTTTAGATGGCTCACTCACATAGTTACAAGGGGAGCTGGCCATTGGAAAGATCACTCACTGTTCTCAAGGGGCTTTCTCATAAAGGATATAGACAAGTATACACACAATTACAATGCAGTATGAATAATACTATGATTGAGGAGGCATATGGAACACTGTAATGGGAGTTTAGTGTTAGGGTCACTAGGAAGTTCAAGGAAGGCCAACTAAGGAATGATTAAGCCGAGACCTAAAGGATATGTAAGAGTTAGTAAGGAAAGGCAACAGAGAGTGCACCAGGCAAAGGGAATTAGCATGTGTGAAGAGCAGAAGTGAAACAGAATAACACGTTGCTTGAACTAAAAGAAGTTCATTCTAGCTGGAGGGGAGCATGGTGAGGAATACTGTAAGATGTGAAGCTAGAGCAGTAAATGGGGAGCCAAATTATATAGAGTCTCAAACACCAGTATAAAGACCTGGTACATTATCTCAAGATCTGTGGAGTGCCATTAAAGTGTTTAAAATAAGGAAGTGACAAGACGAGATTTGAATTTTATTAAACATAGACATTGGTGTGCTGGAGCCAACTAGTAAAGGCTTACAAGAAGCAACTGTTAAATTTTCGGGAATTTTGTGACATGGCTGTTAAATAGCCAGATTAAAACTGTTAGGTAACATAATAAAACAAATTATGGTAGAACAAAGATAATAAACACTCAAACTTCACCATTTCCTAATTATCTTTGCATTTTACCAATATCTGTGCTTTTGAGGTTCTTTATACCTGTTGTAGCTGTGTGGTGGAAATATCACATAATAGTGTGGTACTGACATTTCTTCCCAACTCTGTTGCAGTCATGTTATGTTGGCAACTTGAAAGAAGCCATAGTAGAAGTATTTGCACCACATAAATTAGCAACTACATATCAGGGCTTTATTTATTGTTTTATCGATTATCTAGACCAGGAGTTAGCAAACTCCCATTGCCAAAATCTGCCTAGCTGCCTGTTTTTGTAAATAAAGCTTTATTAGAATACAGCCTTGTTTATTTATTTATATACTGTCTTGTGGCCACTTTCACACTCCAGTGGCAGATAGAGTAGTTCTGATAGACTGTAATGGTCCTTGGGTCTAAAATATTTACTATCTAACTCTTTAAGAAAAGTTTTTGACTCCTGCTCTAGACCAATAATGCAGATTAAAGCTTAAAAGGGTGTTGTATCTTCAGCCTTTACATTGTGAATAGTGCAAAATATTAAGGAAATTTTCCTCTCGTATTTAATTACTATTATCAAAATCAGCAAAAAACTTGCTCACACCATTGACAAATGAGTGAAATTCTAACGTGTCTTCTTCATTTCACTTTCATCTTCTAACATAAACAAAAATACTTAACCAGCATCCATATCACAACTTCATTTAAACCTCAGTTTCAATCGTATGTGGCTATGGATGTAGCAGTTTGGCAAACATAAGTGGAGAAGCAAAATATTTTTGGATACCCCATTTTTCTCTAGGATATTTTCTTCATATTTTTGTATTTCTGGATCAGTATTATTTAGCATGGATATTGTAGAATATGGTTTTAGATTTTTTCCTTAGTGAAATTTTGTGGTGGTAGAGGTAAATATTATGCAGAATTATGATCTAATCTCATTTTTATTCTTTGTAGTAGAATGTAAATATTGACATGTTTGCTTCAGAAAGAATATAATTTTTAAAAATATTATCAAGTTAACTTACTCTGTTAGTATCCATATTCTCTGTTAATCTTTTATCCTATTACTGAAGTGTTTGAAAGTTCTCAATAATTGTTCTTGCATAAAAAATTAACAGCTTTCACTGTCACTAATAATTTTATTGGGTTGTCGGAAAAGTCATGATGTATTTTTTCTATGTTTTTTGTTGCAAAAATGCGTCATGACTTCCAACGACCCAATAATTAATTTTAAAAATTTGAGAAATATTTATTTATATGAGTGGTATTTCTTAATATTTTTAGCTGAGCCATCCTACCACCTGTTGGCAGCTCAGCGGCAGCTCAGCTCGGGCCGAGACTTGAACTGCTGTTGCTCAGAGCTCACACTCTTGAGTGAGCTCTTAACCAACTGAGCCACTCGGCTGGCCCTTGGGATGCCATTCTTATATTCTTCATTTCATATCAAGTTCAGGAGATAATGGCTTTCTCATTTAATCATGGGTTTATTTGTTATTTTCTAAATTTTGAGACAGGTTACAAGTGTTGATGTTTTATTATTAATTAATTATTTGGTTTATTATTGGCTTGTTTTGTTTGCCTCCCTAGAATAAGGAGGAAGTGATGGCAGTGAGACTGCGGGAAGCAGACAGCATAGCTGCTGTGGCTGAACTACAGCAGCACATTGCTGAGCTCGAAATCCAGGTACCATATGAAAATAGTCAAGTACACGTAAAAATAATGCAGTAGTTTCCTCTTCTCTCTGCATCTGAGCTGTGACTTATATATCTTCATCCTAATGCCTATGATTCTATTTTCAAAACTTAATCATTTCCAAGTCCATTCTTTTTATTGTGGTAAAGTACACATAACATGAAATTTACCATTTTAAAGTGTGCTATTCTATGACATTACACGCTGTTGTGCAGCCAGTCTGCAGAACTCTTTTTATCTTGCAAAACTGAAACTCTGTACCCACTAAACAACTCCCCATTCTCCTCTTCCCCCAGCCCCTGAAAACCACCATTCTACTTTCTGTCTCTGACTACTTTAGGTACCTCATATAAGTAAAATCATACAGTGTTTGTTTTTTTGTGACTGGCTTACTTCACTTAAATGTCATTAAGGTTCATCCATGTTGTAATATGTGTCATTTTACATGTAATGTGTAAAATTTCCTTCCTTCTTAAGGCTGAATAATATTCCATTGTATATATATGCCACATTATTTTTATCCATTCATCCATTGATGAACACTGGAATTGTTCCCACCTTTTGGTTATTGTGAATAATGCTGCTGTGAACATGGTGTACAAATATGTCTGCTTGAGTCCCTGCTTTCATTCATTTCTTTGGTCCCATAAGTGGGATCATGTGGTAATTCTATGTTTAGTTTTTGAGGAATTGCTAGCCTGTTTTCCACAGCAGCTGCACCATTTTATATTCCCACCAGCAATGCACAAGGTTCTCAATTTCTCCACATTCTCACCAACAGTTATTAATTTTGTTTCCTTTTTTTTTATAATAGTCTTCCTGATGGGCGTGAGGTGGCATCTCTTTGTGGTTTTGATTTGCATTTCCCTAATGATTAATGATGTTAAGCATCTTTTCCATGTGCTGATTTGCCATTGTATGTCTTCTTTAGAGAAATGTCTATTCAAGTCCTTTGTCTGTTTTTTAATCAGGTCGTTCTTGAGTTTTAGAAGTTCCTTATAGTATTCTCAGTGCCAGTCCCTTAATCCGATACATGGTTTACAAATATTTTCTACTGCTCCATGGGTTACCTTTTTTGCTCTGTTGTTATTGTCCTTTGGTGCACCAAAGCTTTAAATTTTTTTTGAAGTCCAACTTACCTGTTTTTTCATTTGTTACCTGTGCTCCAAGTCCATTTTTGAATGACAATTTATCATATTTCTATATTGTCAAGGTTACTGAATAAAATTCAAAGAAAATTCAAAGCTTTAAAAATAAATGTGTTTTGTCACTTCTTACAATATAACAATATAACATTTCCAATATGGGCAAAGTATTATGTTTAAAATCTTATTTCTTTTGCAGTCTTTTATTACGTTCTATCCCAAGCCATAAATACAATTTTCTCTGCAACATCTAGGATTTTTTTCCCAACTAAAAAACCCTTTTGTCCTTAAATTTCAATTCAAAATTCAGTTAATTTCTGAGACTTACATATTATATTAACCTCATCTTTTGATCTGGGTCAAAAGTAATTACAACACGTTATGACTTGTGTAACTTTATAAAAAAGTATTTATGTTCTGTTGATAATATTCCCCTATAAAGTAGCACATAATTCAGAAAAACTTCAGACATGCATAATGTATTTGTAATCAGCTATTTAAATCATGCTATCATATGCAGTTCTAGTTTAGTCTGTACTATTCTAACAAAAAAATTATAAAATTTTGCCACATTTGTATACATTTTAGTCACAAAATAGCAAGATTTAAATCTTTTTGTTGATGCTGAAATATTTATTAAAATGAAGAACTTGGTGTGATGCATGTTTTGTTTGAAATAAAATAACGTCATTTTTTAAAAATAGAAAAAAAATGCATGAAATTTTTACTATCGATAGCAGTATGTTAGCACTAAATGGCTCTTGATTAAGTGATCACTGGAACCCTAATTGCCAAATTCATTGGTATTTTTTCAGTATTTATCCTGCCCGAGCTTATCTCATTTGTCATTATTGACCACTTATCCTCTTTTCCCTTGGCTTTACTAACACCACTCACTTTGACTCTCTTCTTTTCTTGTTTAACTGTTGTTTTCAGTCTTCTCTATTAGTTCTGAATGTTTGTATTCTTCTGAGAAACAGAGTTTTGGCTTTTCAAAAACTATTCCAACGAAGGGCCTCAGTTACATTGCTTCAGGAGCCATCTTTACAATAATGAATCCTAATATATCTCCAGCCCTAGCATGTTTCACCTAACCAATAATTTTCAAACCTTAAAAAAAAATTTTTAAGACAATATACAGAGAAGTTCGTAAACCAAGCAAAATTATAATATATATGACCATGATAGAGAATATTGCCTGTACCCCAGAAGTTTACCCAATCACACCCTACCGGGGCATCCCAGCTTCGGGTACTCCTTCTGGTAAGAGAGCGTCAATAAAATTTTTTGCTCCTCTAAAAAAAATCATACCTTACTCGCTTATCCTGAATTTTGTGGTAATTTTATGGTAGTCCTAAAATTTATGGTGATTACCATGAAACTCCTTACTGTTGTGTCTTTGTATGCATCTCTGATCCATACAGTTCAGTTTTCCCTGTTTCTGGATTTTGTATAGTTAATATTGAGTGTTTTCATTTTTTTCTCTTTCTTTGTTCGACATTGTTTTAGTAGAGTCGTCATTTTTATTGTTGCACATGTTCCATTTTATGAATACATCACAATGTATTTCTCCATTCTAACATTAGTGGTCATTTGGGAATTTCCAGATTGGGACTGCTATGAACAATGCTGTGATTATGAGCAATCTCGTGCACTATTCTGATCACATATATACAGTACAAATTTCTCTAGCACATATACCAAGCTGTGGAATGGCTGGGTCATGGGAGCATGCAAATCTTCAACTTTATTTTCCAAAGCGTTTGCACCAGATTAAACTCTCAACCGCATCATATGAAAATTCTTGTTCCACATCCTCCCCCATCACTTGGTGGTGTCAGAGGTTTTAATTTGTGCCATTCTGGTGGGTATGCAGTGATATATCATCATGGTTTTAATTTCCATTGACCTAATTACTAATGAGTTTGGCCATTTGGATTTTCTCTTTTGTAAAGTACCAGTTAAATTTTTCATGTATATTTTTCTCTTCAGTTGTCTTTTTCTTATGGATCTTTTATTTATTTATTTATTTATTTATTTTTTTAAGCTGAGTTATCCTGCCACTTGTTGGCAGCTCAGCGGCTGCTCAGCTTGGGCTGGACTCGAACCACTGTTGCTCAGAGCTCATACTCTTGAGCGAGCTCTTAACCAATGGAGCCACTCGCTGGCCCTTTTTATGGATCTTTATATATTGATGATATGTTTTGCAGATATCTACCCTCACTCCATGACTTGTCTTTTGTTGTTGGTTTTTTAATTTATTGTCTTTTGATAAATATTTTTAATCGACAGTAGACAACTCCACCTGGAAATTGTACGGACACTTCATATTCAACATGTTTAAAATCAAATGTGTTCCTATTCCAACCAAAATTTTTTTCTTTTTGTATTTCAAGTCTTGATCAGTGGTATTGTCTATTATTGAATTTTTCAACCTAGTAGGAACTTCAGTTATGCTTTTGTTACCCTATAATACACCATATATACCAGGGCTGTTATATAGAGTGTGCAAATTTTCAACTTTACTACATAATACCCAATTATTTTACAAAGTGCTTGTGCTAGTTAACATTTCTACCAACATTTCATCTGCTTGCCTACTCTTGTAGATTTGCCTTCCAATAATTCTTAGTAATTCAAGTTAAAATGTCTTATCCAACTCTTCAATTCCTTCAAAAGTTAAAAGTCCTGAGTAAATCTAAAACTAAATCAAAGGTAATTTTAATCACTTCAGAAACAGTTTTTTGAATTTTTCCTAACCTTTCTATTTTCCCCCTGCCACTCCCTTAATTCATCTGACCTACCCCCCACTATCATCGTAATTACCTATCCAACCTTCTTTTCTCCAGCCTCAACTCTTCTACAAAGCTATCAATGTTATCTTTCTAAAGCTTAAAAACTTTTATTGACTGCCTTTTACCTACCAAATCACATCAAAATTCCTTAGTATAAAATGTTTATCTTTTCATTATTGCCCACACCTGCATTTCTAGTTTCATCTTTCACCATTATCTCCACATCCTTCCTTCCCACCCCCGCGCACACACACTGTCTTCCAAATTTTTACATTTTTTTCAAAATTCTGGACTATTCTACACACTGCTATGTCTTCATAAATTGCTGCTTTTCTGTATCCCCTACTCCTCTGCTTTTGAGACATTTCCGCTTACTGACTTCTCCTTTGCTAGCTTACCATCAGTACATTTAGTAAATGTGTTTTCAGTAAACATTTTAATGATTCAACTTTTACTTGTTTATTTACTTGTTGCATGTAGATTAAGATCCATAAATAGATCTTTTGTTAAAACCTGAAGCTCGTTTTTTCAATTCTAAGAATAATATATTTTAGGTTATTCTTGGTCAAGGAAATGTCTTAGATCCTTTCAGGTTCCACTAGGGGGCGAACTCAACTTAGTCAAACATTTTCATACTTCAGATCTCTTCAGACCAACCCTTCCAATTATTGTTGCTCTCTTGTGAATAAAATGTTTCAAACTCTTCATTTAATAAATTATATTATTATGTAATGTTATTTGGTATAATTAAAGACTTCTTTTTTAATGTACTTATGAAGATTATACTTCTGTAAATGTCATATTTAGTTTTGGAAATACATTAGATGAAGAAATAACCCATTTTTATAAACACTGCAGCATTCTGTGGTAGATATGAAGTTGAAGTTTATTAAATTTGTTTTCAAAGATTCTTTAGTCAACTTGACACTTTTATGATTTAAAATTCATAATCTCCCCCATGTTATTGTTCTGAGATAACTATATCTGTAATATACTTAATGTTCTTTATAATAATTCTTTTTCTGCCTGTCTGTGGAGGAGCTATTTTACATTACTGTCTCACAATGAATGTAACCTATTTTGAGTGTAGCAGCTTTCAAATTTTAGCCATTTTCCTAGAACTGTTTGGAAAAGTTATCAGCTAGGTTTCTTTCTTCTCAAACAGAATGACACTTCCTGATATATTTTAGTCACCATTCTGTAATGTTTGTTTGGAACAGACTATATATCTGTAAAATTAAGGGGTTGAACTCTAACGTTCCATTAAATATAAAAGAATATGGTACCATGTGTATCATTTTAATATTTTTTGACAATTCAGTTACCATTACGATTTTAAATACTATATAATCCTCTCACTTTATTCAGGTCTCTATTATTTTCTTATAATAAATGAAGCTCCTTTGGCCAAATTTCTATCTAAAATAATATTCCTATTTAATCACTGTACTCTTATACCGCTTTATAGTTCTTCAAAACAATTATTTCTTGCCATAAATTATACATTTTGTTGCTGTTCACAGTCCCCACCAGAATGGAACCTCCATGAGAGAGGAATTTTTGCCTGTCTTATTCAGTTGCTGTATTCCTCAGTGTTTGGTTATATAATGCCTAGTATATAATCATCATTCAAATATTTGTATTTAAAGAAATTAAATTAATATAATAATTCACTCATTTGCTGTTGTTTCTACAATGAGTGATTTTCAGTGTATTTAATTTGAGTATTCAGATGCTTAAAATTCAGAGGTTATCACTATATTTACACATGTATCAGTTTGCATACGGTTTCTTATCAACAGGTCACTACTGTTTAGGAAGGATAAGATTAATTCAGACTCAGCCATAATGCATTTATCATTATACAGAAGGAATGACTGAGCCTGGGTCCCTTCTTT